TGTGGCATGCCAGTTGCATGGCATCTGATGCACAAGGATGGTCCCAGCTGTGACAGGGCTGAAGCATGGCTTAACTTTGAAACTAATGTCAGCCTCTCCTTTCCCACTATGGAGAAGCTCCTCCCTACAGAACACACTGCTCTTCTTACAAGCTCAGAGGTCTTGGGAGCAGCAGAAGCAGACAAAGAACAGCTTCCCTCAAAACCCCTAGGTGTATTGGTAGGAAGAGAAGGGTTGGGAGAGCAAGGCAGGCAGCTGCTCCAGGAGACCTTAGAGCAGCTTCCAGTACCTAAAGGGATCTGACAAGAAAGCTGGAGAGGGGCTTTCTATAAGAGCAAGCAGTGATGGCACAAGGGGGAATGGCTTTAAATTGATAGAGGGGAGATTGAGATTTATTCCTTTCTTTTAAGTCAATAGCCTGTCCTCAGCAAACCTGAAGGTGAACACAGATATGGTGATGATGGAAAATTTCCACCACATTCATTGCTTCCTGTGCCAAAAGATGATCAACTGCCTGGAGGACAAGAAGATAGAAGCCAAACAAAGATATAGCGAGCACATGAAGAAGTATGTCATCACATACCTGGGCCAGCCACTGGAGAAGCTCAGTGTGAGTACAGGGTAAAATGGTCTCAGAGGGCAATTCCCAAAGTAACTGGTGCCCAGATCACCCTTCCCCAGATCCACTCTGGGATTATGTTAGCTCATTATAACTTGCCCAATGCTCCCACACCTCCTCTGACCACTTAGTGCTGGGTTTCCATCACAGCCCCAGCAAGAACAGGGCTCAGCAGCATCAGGTGCTGGTACCAGTCCTGCATCCCAGCAGCAGCATAAGGACTTGCTCAGGCCCCACTCCCAGTTGCGTGCCTGCATCTGGTAGTTTCCTCTCGCACAGCTGCCTGGGCTAATCAGTCTAATACAGTTTCACACTTCCCAAGAGGCTGCTTTGTTAGCGGAGCTCAGAGCATCTGGCTTTGCTAACTCAAACAGACATCCCCTTCTTCCTAGGGATGATGGGTACTCCCAAGACCCCTCCTTGCTCCGCTCCTTCTCTCTTCTCACCAGCACAAGATGTCTCAGAGACTGAGATCAGCTTGAATTATTTATAGGGCCTGTTACTTTCAATTTGTTTCCAAGGCTTTGCTGTCAAACATCTTGTAGGTTCGACTGGAAGATCAGCTCTGTGTCTCATGCTACCTGCAGCCCTGCTATGCTAATGGCTTCAAATTCTTCCTCTGCGAGGGAAAGTAGCATTTCATTGCTCACAACAAAGGAAAGCAAGCAACATACAAGGATACTTGGATTGTATACAAGTACAATACAAGCACAGCCTTCCAAGCTCGCACAGGGTGCCCAGAGAAGCTGTGGCTGCCCCATCCCTGGCAGTGTTCAAGGCCAGGTTGGACACAGGGGCTTGGAACAACCTGCTCTAGCAGAAGGTGTCCCTGCCTGCGGTAGGGGGCTGGAACTGGATGAGTTTTAAGGTTCCTTCCAAGCCAAACTAGAAGCTTACTGAGGTGCCCAGCAGAACGAGACAACCATCAGAAAACATAAGAAGGAAGGTTCCAGATAGATAGAAGGCAGGAATGACTGGAAGGATAACAGAGCACTGAAACAGCCTGCCCAGAGAGGATGCACAGTCTCTATCCTCAAAGGTTTTTAAAACCTACCTTGAGAAGTGCCCCCAGGTATCCACGTTCGAATCCAGTGTTGAAGCTGCTTTGAGCAGGAGGTTGCGCTAGAGACCTCCTGTGGCCCCTTCCAGCCTGACAGAGTCTGTGCCTGAAAAGCTCACGCAGGAAGATGTTTGTCAGCATTGAGTTTCCCCGGAGCTGCACTGCTCCTGGCACTCTCCTGAAAGCTAGCTGAGGTCTGTATCCCTAGGGATTGGCATAGCCTTGAGCTCTCAAGCAGCAGCCATCCCTGGGGTGTGATGTGCTCCTCGCTGCAGGACAGCCTGTCCTGCTTTCACACAATATCCTGGCGGAACAAAGAGAAACTGAGTTTTGCTTTAGACTTCAGCAGACTCTGGAATTCCCCAGCCCCACGTCTGGCCCCGAGCGCTTTGTAGTGAGCAAAGCTCTGTGAAGCACAAAGGAACACAAGTGATTTTCCCAGCAGTCCCATTGCTCCATGGTGCTGCAACCCTTAGAGATGCTGCTTGCTGAGCAGGGAGGGAAGAGAACTGGTGAAGTTCCCTATGCCCTGCTTTCCTGGAGGGCAAACAACCTCCAATGCCTCATTTCCACTTAATTAGACATGGGAAGGGAACTGAAACGGATTTCAGCCCCGATGCAGGAGTCCACCTTAGGGCAGCTCACCACTGAGTGTCTCCTTATCTTTCCAGAACTTCTTTGAAGGGGTGAAAGCCCGTGTGGCTCAAGGGGTGAAGGAAGAAGAGGTCAGCTTCCAACTGGCCTACAGCAAGCAGGAACTGAGGAAGGTCATTGACAAATACCCTGGCAAGGAAGTGAAAAGAGCCCTTGAGACCCTCTACAGGAAAATCCACAAGGATCTCTCCCCTGAGGAAAACCTTTTGCCGGTAACTGGAGTGTGGTCTATGTGTGATGCTGTGATGTTTGGGGGTTGATGACCCCAACGCATTTATAGCTGTCACAGGGTGATGAAGGGAGCTGATGGTCTGGTTTTTCCTAGGTGGTGTGGCACGCTATGGAGCAGGAGCTCATACATCAGTACCAAGAGTTTGAGGAACTCATCCAGCGCTGTTACTCAGGGTCAGGGATTGCCATGGACTTCACCGTGGAGGACTTGCTGAGCTACTTCAGCTCCATCACTCTGTCCAGCATGTAGAGGGAGCCCTTGTTCGCAGCTACACCTTTAAGGACCTAAGCACAAAACCCTTCCCAAACTGAAGGGTGATATATGGGGCTCCCACCCTGAGCTTAACACCAGGGTGCCTCTGACTTGTCATTCTTAGGCTCAATCTCCCTTGGGGATGTGGAGATCTCAAACCCAAACCGCAGCTTCCCAGCTCCAAGAAACCATCATGCAGTTAGCAAAGGAACATACCAAACCTCAGATTACTGCCAAAGCAAGTGCCAGCACTGCACCTCGTCAGCAGAGCACCTCTCACTGCAGCTGAACACTGAAAAGCATCTTCTCTCCAGGAACTCTCCCCTTTCTATCTGTGCTTTGATTTCACAGCAAACCTGTAATAAAACAGGTTTACAACACACCAAGACACCCATATGCATGTAGTGTTACTATATCCAGCTATCAGAACACACACCATTGCTCCATCAGCTCTTCATCAGAGACAGATGGAAGTTCAGAGTTATGAATATAAGAAGGTTTATTGTTTTTAGTTAAGAAAGGGTTTATTTGCATATAAACTTTAGCAAATGCTTCAGTTCTAGAGATCCAAAGTGGTCTCTCAGGGAGCTGCCCCTTCTTACCTCATTTTCTGCTGATGCATCTATGGCAACATCACAGTTTAGAATCATAGAATAGTCAGGGTTGGAAAGGACCTTAAGATCATCCAGTTCCAACCCCCCTGCCATGGGCAGGGACACCTCACACTAAACCAAGGCACCCAAGGCTCTGTCCAACCTGGTCTTGAACACCGCCAGGGATGGAGCATTCACAACTTCCCTGGGCAACCCATTCCAGTGCCTCACCACCCTCACAGTAAAGAACTTCTTCCTTATATCCAAACTTCCCCTGTTTAAGTTTTAACCCATCACCCCTTGTCCTATCACTACAGCCCCTAATGAAGGGCCCCTCCCCAGCATCCTTATAGGTCCCCTTCAGATACTGGAAGGCTGCTATGAGGTCTCCACGCATCCTTCTCTTCTCCAGGCTGAACAGCCCCAACTTTCTCAGCTTGCTAATGTATTTTTCTTCTTTAAAACACAGCTTCTTACCTTGTGATGACAGCCATGGGGCTAATGCTGCCCATTGTAACCTTCTCTCTAAAACCCCCAAAGATCCTAAACTCTGGTTCAGTGCAAAATACCAAACAGGTCCATAATGGTGACACCAGGTTAAGGACCAGAATATCAGCCTACAAACTGATGTCCAGACCTTCAGGGCCATTGGCCAGGTAGAGGCACATCTAGGCCTAGACTAGAGAGCAACACCCCTACCGCAAATCTCAGGCAAGGAGTGAAAGCCCCCAGGAAGGGCTTAAATATGCTCCAGGACCCATGGATGTGGGTTGGAGCCTCCAGGTGAGGCTGGTCGGGGCTATTAGGGCCAGTTAGTGCCCGCAAAGCCCTGTTAGATGTGAATTGTCCTGTTACACCTGTGGGAAGAACTTTGGGAGTGTTAGCAAAGAAAAGGTATTAGTGTTTTTCCCAAGAAAATGAGTTTTGGGAGGCCCACCTTCTGCCAGCCCCAGTGTGTGGCTGTTGAACCCCTTGATCTGGAGTGGGCAGGGCAGAAGGAATCACCTCCTGCATGTCTTGCAATGAACTACTCGCTCCTCCAAAGCCGACTGTGCAGACAGCTTGAGGGCTTCCAAAACTCCATTTGATTTTTGACAGATTTGGGGTTTGTAGAGGAAGGAAAATAAAATCTGTAACTCAGGCACAGGTCAGGGAGCCCCTTTGGACGTGTCTGCTTGCAGGGGTCCGAAAAGGTGCCCAAAGCTGTGCGCATCACCCTGAGGCTGCTTTTCTATTGCTCATTGCTGCATACTGGATGTTAGCTCAGTACCTACAACCTGTACGTCTTTTACTAGTAGGAGCCTGTTCCCAGGGACAGCAAGGGCCTCACAGGGGGATAAAACCTCAGCATGATGCAAGGAAATAATCTTGGGGGCAAAGAGGCGGAAAGGCACAGGGGGAGGTGGGAAGGTGGGAAAGCAGGAAGCCCACTGCAGCTGCTTGCCACAGCTCCTCTTGTCTAGGAATATCTTTGCTTCTTAGCAGTAAGTTACCCCAGACTGAGCACCAAGATCAACCTAATATAGCACATTATATAGCACATTAACACATTTTTCCCATGCAGAGGGGAAGATACGTGGCTGAAATATCCAGGCTTTTCTTCCGGGATATTTTAAGCAATTCTATGTAGTTGAACTTCCAGGTCCTTTGGGTCAAAGTACACCTCTGTGGTATGACAAAGTCACAGCTCCTGTTTAATCTCTGGGTTTTCCCCCTCATTCTCCTGTGACGTGTCAGCTCACAGAGCTCAGCTCCAGGCAGCAGGAAGAGGATGGTCCTAAGGGAGCCATCTGGCACCGGCTTGCCCAGAGACCGTCCTCTCTCGCAGGTACCTGGCCTGGTTTTGCAGTCCAGTTTCCTTGTTGCTCTTTGCTGGAGGGCTCGCATGGGAGAGGAGGGTTGTCCTGGCAAGGTTTGCTGGGCAGGAGCAGGGAGATGCAGGCTGTGACATGAGGGCCCCCCAACTTGGGAGCACCCAGGAGGGCTTCCTGGGTGGAACAGACTTTGCAGAGCCCAGGCTGGCAGAGGTGAGGGTGTTCAATGCCAAACGCCGTCTGCAGCAAGGAGGAGCAGGGATTTTCATTGTCTCCATTAACATCTCCCTCCACAACAGTCCAGTGCAGCCCAGTGCAGTCACTGGGCACAGTCCGGGCAGTGCTGCAGTCCCAGCTTGGGATGGGGGAAACCAGGGCTCCAAACCAGCCTCTCTTCATAGAATCCCAGCCTGGTTTGGGTTGAAGGGACCTTAAAGCTCACCCAGTTCCAATCTCCTGCCATGGGCAGGGACACCTTTCACTAGAGCAGGTTGCTTTATGGTGACCTTGCTCCTGTGGCAGTGGGGCATTGAGATCTCTCCTTGCCAGACATTTCCCAGGGACTGCAGAAGGGCAATGACCAGGGATCATCAGAGGCTCATCAGAGCAGGATCATCAGGGGTTTGTCCCCTCAGCCATTTGCCCCCTGGGCTCAGTCCCACAGTGCAGTTACATTGGTGACAAGTTCCCATTCTCTTGACGCTGGTAAAGGCCACATCCCTTACCCTATGGTCCATGTTTTCCATCTACATTATATAGGGACCAGAAGAGATTCTGTCTCTTCCTGGAGGTTGGGAGAACCCAAGAGAGGGTTGGAGGGAAGAATCACACACATGGTCCATCCTTGGTGCACAAAGGGGTTTCTGCATTGAGAGATCAGCATCTCTGTAACATCAGCGAGGTCCTCTGAATCTGGCCAAAGCCAGGGGCTCTGGCATGCTCAGGTCCCACCAGAGTAAAGCAGAGGTCTGGGGCCCTTCCAAGGGGGAGGATTTATTGCCACCTTGTACTTGTGCCACCAACAGCCCAAAAGCAAATCTGTTCACAGGTCAGTTCAGAGCTGCCTGGACCATTTCCCTGTTCCCACAAACTTTCATGGTTTTTCATGCTGGTTCCCAGCCCTGAGATAATGTCCTGGAAGGAGGAGCGCATGAGTTCACCCTCATGTTTCATCCAGTGCTTGGACCACCTTGTGTTGACTGTGAAGAGCATTGAGGACACTGCGGCCTTTTACTCCAAAGTCCTGGGCATGGAGGTGGTGACTTTCCAGGTAACATGGGGCACAGGCTTGGCTTGGGTCTAGGGGAGCTGCAGTTCTGGGCCAGTGGCTGGGCTTTGTGGATCTCTGACAGGGATGGATGTTCAGAGTTAGCAGGACTACAGCCAGGTCCCCAGCACTTTTAGGACTACACAGGTGAGTGGATGCTGAAGGCTTCCAGCTCAGGAAGTCTCACTGCACATTGATTCCTTTCTCTGGGGACAGGGAACTCGCAAAGCTTTACGTTTCGGCAACCAGAAGTTTAACCTTCACGAGGCTGGGAAGGAGTTTGAACCAAAGGCTCGATGCCCCATCCCTGGCTCTGCAGATCTCTGCCTTATCACAGAGGTACCCCTGGACCAGCTGCAGGATCATCTGAAGGTGAAAAAGGCAAAGAGTATCCACAGCGGGACCTTGGGAGACATGAAACTAGAGCTTCTCAAGTGACACTTTGAGGGTCTCTGTGTTGGGGAATGTCAGAATTGTCAGCCCATGTTTTCAAGGCTGGGGGAAGAGTGACCTTAAGCATTAAACCCCTGTTCTTTGTCTCTTCCCAGGCCTGTGGCGTGGTTATTGAAGAAGGTCCCGTGGCCAGAACTGGTGCCATGGGTCCAATAACATCCATCTACTTCCGAGACCCTGATGAGAACCTGATCGAGGTTTCCCGGTACTGCCCAGATGTGACTGCAACCCATGGAGGAGAACCCTGACCACAGCCTGTTTTGTGCCTGCATCCCAGCAGTCTGCAGGATGCAGAGGCCAGGCTTTTGGTGGCCAGTTTACAGGCTCAAGCTTTTATTTTGCAAACCTAGGACAAGGCTCAAGTTAATTATTTAAAAAGCAGCCCCTCAATCATTTCAAAAGCATAAAACAATAAGGAAGGACTTGGGGGTATCAAGGAGAGCAGTTCCCCAGCTGGCCACACTGAGGTAGCAATGTTACCATCACTGCTGGAAAGCTGGGAGGCCTCTTCTGACCTCTACAGCCAAAATCGTCTCTGAAATTGAAATAATCTCTGAACGGTGTTATTTTGTTGGGGTTTTTTTTTCTGCTGGCATTTCACGGGAAACCCAAATTCCTCCATGCAAAAATACAAGTCCCTAAGAACTGCAGAGCTGCGGATGGTCACAGATGGGGCCGAGGGTTCTCCCAGCTCCAGCTGAGCCACTGTGGGAGCCAAGGACAAGAGCTGCCCTGGGAGGGAGCCGCAGACACCTCACAGCCTTATCCTGAGAACGGGGACCGGGGAGGTCCCCCGGAGGGACCCCCGCACACTGGAGCCCGCGCGGTCCTAGAGCCCGCGCCCCGAGCGGGGGCTGCTCTCCAGGGTGCTGAGCGCGGCGGCGGACGGCTCCGCCCGGGTGCCTCCTGCCCATGGGTAGGTCCTGAGCAAGAGTGGGACCTGCCTACGGGACCCCACGGATGGGTCCTGCCCACGGGAAAGGGCTGATGGTGGCATCCTGCTCCCATTAGCCCTTCTACAGCTTTCCCCCACTCTCCACTGGCCCGGGGTTCTCCCCAGCCAAGTGCTTGTGCCAGCAGAGCCCTATTAATTTCTGGTGTGGGACTGTAGTTATTGATTGATTGCCAACACAGATCCTGCCTGTCTCTGCACTGAGAGTGTCCTTTCAGTCACTGAGCTTGCTACCATAAATATGTTTGTGGAGAAATGTGTCCTTTTCTTAATTTTAAGTGTAATTTTTCTTGGAACAGCAGTAGAAAGAAGGAAAATGGCTCTTTTCTTATTCAGCCTGAGAGAAGTTGGGGATTTTGGTAGCACCATATTAATCACTGAACACCCTCAGCATCACACAAGCTGGTCTGTAATTTTCATAGGTCATTTGTTTCCTTGGCTGTTCCAAGGTCTTGCTTCCCTTGTCAGGGCTTTGGGCCTCTGAATTGTTAAGAATATGAAGCATTTGTTGTGTTAAAGTGAAAACAACAAGTGAGACACTTTCCTGGACTGGGATACTGGAGGTGTTTTCAGGTTTCTTGGCTTTTAGAGGAAACATCATGAAAGAACCTTGCCTATGTCTTTGGGTCCTCTGGAAAAGCCTCTTACTGCTTCAACTGATAAGAGGCCTGATGAAAGGGGAGTCGGGCCCTACCAGCTTTCCTGTGCCTTCCCTTCCTAATTTTACACAGTATCTGCTGAAAGGTGTCAGGATTACACCTGATGGGACAGCCAAGGCATGAGTGAGGTTTCTGGAACATGGGGACAAAATGCAGCCTGAAACTCAGATGAAAAGCTGGTAAAAGGTGTGACTCCAACCAAGGGAAACCAGAAGCTTGGCATGGAAGCCTGACAAATATTTGAAATCAGTTGCTTAGTGAGGAAACAGTGTGTAACTTCTCTTTGATGAGAGGCCATGTTTAACCACAGCCAGGCTTTGCTGCCTATGAGCTATTGTCTTCCTCAGGAAAAACAGCCTGAAGGGCTCAATGTAAATATATGAGTCTGGAGAAATCCCTGGGCACAGGCCAGCCTTCTAGCTATCTGCTGGGTCCCCCACCTATTGGAAAAGCCTCTGTACTGAATATGTTCAGATTAAAACAGAAAACCTGATGGTCCACATAAAGTAGCATTAAATCTTCACACAGAAAATGAGTTTACTTCAGTTTTTTATTCAGAAAGATTCAGTGGGAATATGCAAGACAGTATGAGAGAGGGGAGTTACAGGTGGGCAAACAGTTCTGCTCTGACTGGGAAGTTCTCTGCAAAGACCACTACTGGCAAGCTGAAAAGGAACCAGCCCACACGCCTTCTTGCTTGCCTAGTCCCATCTCTCTGTGCCTTGCAGAAGGCACCTTCACTTCTGCAATGGATTCTGTACCTATGTCATGCTTGGAGGCCACTCCTTTGGATCAGCAGTCGCAGTATCTGTTTCATGTACAGGGGATTATTGCACAGTTCTCCATCTCACTGCTCACAAAGGACACAGGGTCAGAAGCCTTTCAGTGAACGGCTGCACAGGAGCACAAGTGCTGATCTCATCCCAGCTGGAAAGATGAGTTAAGGACTGAGTCTCATTGAGCTTTCCCTCCTCTGAGGGGGGAGAAACAGGAATTTCCCAATGTGAGTCATGGTGTGTATGTGCCCAGGTCACCATCCAGAGGGGCCCATCTCTGCAGAGACTATAAAGACCACCTCTGGTGAGACAGCTCTGAGTAGGGCAAAGCTGGGAGGGATACTGTGGCAGACAGAGAACTGGCAGGGATCACCTTGCAGGAGGCATAGGATCAGGCGTAGGAGTGGTTTAGGGCTCCTAACCTTCAAACTGCCTTCCTTTCAGAAAAGAAATACAGGTTTTAAAGTTCTTTGAACCATCCCTTTTACACAGAGAAGTGAAAAACACTTCCCCAGTACTGCAGAAATGGGAGGCTTTTACTGGAAAAGGAAATAATCCATCTCTGCCTGAGGGTTTTGCAGGCAGGGCTGTTTACAGTAACTGATAGGTTTTTCAGCTGGCCATCATGACTAACTAACCATGATCACAAAAGTGCCCAGAAGAGCGCTAAGAAAAGCACACAGCTTGCAGCTGAGCCTCCTCTCCTTCCCAGACTCAGCAGTCAGGCATCCTGCACAGAAAAAACTTGGAGTGCAGCTTGAAAAAAGATCTAGACACAGTTCCTTCTGGGGAGCCGGCTTCCAGGTGATACCCCAGGATTCTCACAGATTTCCATGGGAGTTTCATTATTTGTGATGGCCTTGCAGCTAACTATGTGTTGGGATTCAATCTGTGTCCCGATCAGTGACACAGGCACACCTCCTGCCTCGTGGGCTCCTTTGGTCTTAAAGCGTCTACTTTGACTTCAAGGGGTGGGAATTTTCCTGTCATTGGAAAAACAAAAGTAAAGCACCAATGAAGAGAGGAATCAGAGTTTCTCTGGGAAAAGTCCCGTATCTAAACCCTGCTTGCTGTTCCCTCACAGGCTGCAGGCCAGCTGGGAGCTGTCTGACAGGTTCTCCAGGTTGTCTACCGTAGTGATGATGGTTTCTATTTTTTCTTCTGGAAGCACATGGGAGGCATTGGAGCGAAACTTCTTCAGGAGCGATTCTTTGCTCAGAGGCTTCCTCCAGTGCCCATAGAAAGTGTCACATTTGCCTGTGAGGACGTCCCCGCTGTGCAGGAGCAGTGCCACCTCTCCGTACATCTTGTCAAAGTTGGCCACATTATCTTCAGGGTGCTCCACCACCACTTTGTCCAGCAGCTCCCTCAGCTCCTGCCGCTGGATGCTGCTCTCTGCAAAGGAGCTCAGACCCACTTCCCCATCCAACAGGGCATTACAGGCATTGAATTGGAAGGAGTGTCTAGCCTGGTGTTCAGAGCTGGGGAAAGGCCGATTGATGTACTTTGACACTGGGATCTTCAGCACAATGGTGCGGATCAAAGAGGGAGAGAAGGACCCTGCGTAGTTGATGAAGAGGTTCCGAGCAGACAAGGCAGCATCCACCACCCAGTGCATCCCCAGGTGGGCTGGGAATCTCTTGAAAGCAATATCCTGCTTCTCCAAGAGGAACTCATGGTGGTCACTTGGCGTGGAGAGTGGTTTGGGTTGATAGACACTGTAGAAAGCACTGAATCCAGAGCAACCAGGGATCTCATCCAGAATCAAGGGGTTGGCCTCCATCCCTCGAGCAGCCAGCAGCGCTGCTTCAAAGCCCAGGCGGGTGGCATTTCCAATGTGCAATGGCTTGGCTTGGGTGGCAGCATTGGCCATGGGTGCCCCTGCAAGCGATGCAGCAATGCCCAAAGCATGTGCGCACTGGGCCATGCTGAGGGACAGCAGTTTCGCTGTGGCTGCAGCACTGCCCATGGTACCGACCACCGAGGGAGGGTGGAACCTGCAGATATGGGGGGAAATTGCAGATATGAGCATCCTGCCTGCTTGGCACAGGGAATACCCAAGAACTTCATCCACCGGACCTGCCTGGGACTGGGGTGAACTGCCAGCTACCCTCATAGCTCTGATGCAGGTGTGATTTACCTAACTCAAAACGTAGCCATCTACAATCTGTCTTCTTGAAACTTCATTGGAGACAACAGAGTGAGCTCAGCACCTCCAGAAAGCCATTTGTAGTTTTCCCTAAAGGTAGGTGGCATGGTTTGTGTCCATACAGCTAAACTTTCTTCCCCCATCCTCATCCACCATGCTCAAGGGTAACAGCTCCTGGTCATGCCATCCCTTGGAACACACCAGGGTACTGCCTGGGACTGTGACCACAATTAAGCTGTCTGAATGGCTGTGGACACTACCTGTCCTGTGATCTTGTCCTGGCTAGTTTAGGTGATAACGCTGTAGACTCAGTGCTAGTCCTGTTGATGGTTAGTTTTGAGGGAAGATCACTGGAGGTCACCAAATGAATATGTGGTGACTCATCAGCTTGGGGAGAACTGGCATTTGGCTCTCAGTAGGTCCTTACCCTGATCCTGAGTTCAGCCAGACTTAAACTGACATACTGAAACCCTGAGTAGCACTGTTAACACTGACCAGCCCTCTTCCTATTTGGCGAAGGAAAGGAGGTTTACCTTTTAGGAATGTTGTGAGCCTCAGTGGAGAAATGCATGAGCCTTCCTTGCACTTCCAGGCCCACATTAAATGCCAGCAGGAAATCCATGCCATTGGGTTTGGTGCTTGGAGGTAGCATCTGGGAAGCTGCCAGAAGAGCTGGCAGCACAGCCCCTGATGGATGAGTAGCAGGGTGCCAGGTATCGTCAAAGTCCATGGAGTGAGTCTGCCAGAGAAAAAGGAGATAAGGACATGCTGGTGTGGGGGGGGCTGGAAACTGAGGAAGCTATAGGTCCTTGCTGATGAAGCTGCATCTGTAACAGCATCCACTCAGTAGTTCCCATAGAATTATAGAATGGTTTATGAGGGACCTTAATGTTCATCCAGTTCCAACCCCCTGCTTCCTGTAATCATAACTAGTGCCTCTGAAGGTCCCACAGAGCAGCTCTGCTCCTGGAAGAGCCCGCCTTACCGCAACTCCGTTGGTGAACGCAGCCAGCGTGGGGGAGAGCTTTACCCCTGGCTTGCCATAGACAGAGCTCACAGCAACTGAAGAGTACAGCTCCTGTGAAAGGGAGGGAGATTCAGGTGAGGACCTTGCGTGAAGCAGTGACTGTGATGCCAGAACACTCCTTTACTGCAAGGCAAAAGTCCTGTGTCAGCCATGAAAGCAGGATTTGGATGTGGTGGTGGTGTGAGGACCACATTAACTACACGGGAATATGGGACCATTCCTACCCGGCAGTACTGCAGAGCGATGTCAAACACATGTGTTGTGCTACCCACGAGGCCAACCCCGATGCTGTCGAGGATCATCCTCTTGCTTCTGTGACGGACAGTCTTGGACAAGTGCTCGGGTCGAACTGCATGGATGAAGGAGGCAAAGCTGCTGGTCACTGTCTCCTCCGGAGCACTCCTGGCCACCACTGCAGCACCAAGAGAGAGGAGAGGGGATAAAGACGTGTGGGCCATGGGCTGATGGTCAAGACAAATTATGTCCCTTTATCTGGAGAACAGGCAGAGCAGAAGCCCTGCTACATTACCAGTGTAGGACTACACCCAAAGCCTGGATTTATCCAGAAGTTGGGTCTTACAAGTCACTGAGGTTTCTTGACTCAACCACAAAGCCCTCAAGCCCTATGTACTCAAAAGATTGCTA